TCTTGATTCCAATGTTCTAAAATATACTATTTACCAACAGTAAATTTACTAAATCTTTAATTGCAATTATACTTGTTGAAGTACCATTGCCTTTCTTACATTAATATTTTGAGATATTTAAAAACATTGACCAAAAATTGATATTATACTCTTGGTTGTTGCTATCAATGTTTACAAAAAGACTACAATTTGACAATAACACTAATATTTACTTCATACTTTGTTTACATTATGGAATTGTGTATATTTAAATACAGAATAACTTGAGAGTATGTCTACCAAATAGTTTACATATGATCAACTTCAAATAATGGACACCAATACACTTTCTGGTAACAAAAACAGTTTGATAAGCAATTTGATATCATGAGTTTGATAAAAACTTCCAAATTTGAACAACAAACATGTCATAATATGCACTTTAGAACTTTCAAATACTGTAATATACTACTATGTTCTATAAACCTCAGCAAAGCAAAATTGTTGCTTTAAAATAAAATATTTTTGGTCTGATTTGATTCCAATTCAGATTTATTAGAAATAAATTTAAAAGTTTTTAAGAAGTTTATCAATAAATTATCAGATATCAATACTGTGTTTCTAAGATCTGTATCTACATACTTATTTTACAAGTTACAAGGTCACATTTTTAATTTGAAAGAAACACATAACAGAATAATTGACCAACAACACTAAAGCCAAATAATACATTGCTTGAAAAAGCAATATCAAAATCAGCTCGGAAATGGCAAGAAAATATCTGAATGATATTTGATCTGGAACCAAAGTATAAAGAAATCAACTTACCATAAATCTGTATTTTGTTCACTTGAACACCATTGTGGATATGAACCATCAATATCTTCAACAGCTGACTTTTTTCAAATATATTCAGCCTCTGACTATGATAGAAAGTATATGTATATAATCATACCCCTTTCATCATCTAACTTCCTCTATGAATTACCATAAAATGTATTCTAATGAAGGCTTGTATCTGAAGTTAGGCAAGACAAGTACAGGTATGATTAAGACCTGAAAAATAAGTGAAATACAAGAGAATTTGACCTCCCCTTCCTAATATTGACCAATACAACACACTGTGAAAATAATCACCTCTAATCAATGAAAACAACTTGCTGAAAACTGGCCAAATTTCAGCTGATTCATACATAAATATACTAACATTACAGATAAATCAGATTTTCTTTTTAAAATGTAAATCAAATTCATATCCTTAAGCTATAAACAGACATTGAATATAAACAGTGTCTATAAAATATAATATAAATTGGATTTTATGACTTTCGTTGTATTATACTAAGTAATTTTATTTTATGGTTATATTGTTTGTCTAAAACAAAAGACAAAAGTTTTTATTCATCCCTAGATTTCATCATATCAAAAATATGTAAAATTTAATATTTTCAATTTAGAAACAAACGAAATTACCAATTATATATTTGAAAAATAAAGCAGATTAATATTCTGTGCAAATCAGAAATATTGATCCATACCCATTAACAGATTTAATTCAATGAAAAGATGACTTATTCAAGGTCAACAGATTTTTAATGTCAACCGAAATTAGAACCCACTACCACCATTTGTTTGATATTATCAAGCAAATGACTTCATTCCAATGCTCTTACAGACTGAGCTACAAGTCTGTCCTCAAAAATATATTAGATCATGCAAAGAAGAATTCAAAAAATTAGTACTCAAAATGCACTTAGAGATATTAAAATTTAAAAAAATAAAAAGTTAAACTAACCTTTAATAAATATACCAGCACTCTACTGTATCATAGAAATAGTAATACCTTTGTAATAAATACCCTATATGATAATAAGAGTAAACAATAAAATAGTAAAAGTTGACACCCTATATATAATATCATGTCTGGTAAAATAAGCAAAGTATTTAACTAACCATAGCACATAAGCCTTGCTTTCTTAGTCTTCGTTAATATATGGACCTTTTTTCATGTGGCCTGAATTGATAACAAGAAGATGCTGAGTTGAAAATTTTTCAAAAAGCAGGGCACCAAGACACATGAAATCTACATAAATTTTTTAGCAAAATGCAAATCTAAAATATCTTGACATAATGTAGTTTTAAAAATTTTAATTATCATAGCGTCTCATTAACTTTACGATTATGCCTTAAAGATTGTAAATGATGCACAACAATGCTCAAATCCAATTTAATATCTATTATCATAATCAATATGTTGAAAACATTTGTATATCAAATATATATTGGAAAATAAAGAATAATAATAAAAGTTTTATTACCTGTGATATAACACTTATATACAGGTGACAGTAAAATATATGGTTCAGTTTATCACACTAACTTTGATATAACACATATAAATATTCTATATTCAATCTTTCTATTTTTTATACATAGAACTTCTGTTTTCTGTGTACTGTCTACACTAAATTAACAATTCTATCACCTGAACGCAGATATTTGTCAAATAATATTGAAAGAAAGCAAGTAGTTGACCCAATATAAATAGGATGGCATGTGTCACAATACCTCTATTATCAATCTTCTCTATTAAAGCCTAACTCAATACATGAACATTAGAAGCTTATTGATATGCTGATATGATATGAGGTTCAGAAAGGAATTTCACTTATAATCAACCACTATAATTGCTATAAACAACTCCTTTATGAAGAAGGTATTATTAGATTTCTAATTATGAATAGTATAAAGAAATGAATAGGTGCGTTAAATCTGTTCGATTTTTCTACAGTATTGTAGAAAGATCAATAGGTGCTGATTTCAGATATCATAACAATAGATATAATAACTCTTCAATCTGTTAATATATCTAAACTATTGATAATAGAGAGAATAGATATTGCAAACACTGACAAATAACTCTGTTTACTTGCAAATATCAATAAACAAATAAATTATCATTAGTGTTATTTTCAAATTCATGCGTGATACATACATTTGTACAAAATACAGTGCATGCATGTGATAATTCAATCAAAAAGACAGGGTCATCAGTAGGGTTTTTCCAATCGGGCCAAAATTAGGTTTTTCATCAGAACACTTTTGGTAGACTTCAAACGGTAACCTTTACTGAAGACATCAAATAAACAATATACATGTATTTAGCTGATCTTTCATTTCTATATTCAATTTTTGAAACAAAATTCTTTTTTGTCGAATTTGGCATAAGGCAATTTTATTGGTTTCACGTAGTTTCGGCCTTGAAAGCATGAAATTAAGAGTTTTTATCCTACATTTCTGCAAGAGATTCAGCAAATGAGGATTTGTCTCTTTTCTTTACTTCCAACTTCTTTTTTTTGTGGCACATATTTAATATAAATCTAATTTTGTGACAAGGTTTACTAATAAATAATAAATCTTTGTTTAAAACCAAATGACATTTTGATTTGTCAATGAACAGCAATCTACATATTCAGCAGAGAATAGGGACATCATGTAAAAGAGACCAGTTGTCTGAAGATCGTATGGCGTGAAACTTTCTTTTGATTGTATATCAATGAAACTGTAGTAGGTAGGGGTTGTGTCTGTTAGCTTCTCGAAAACAAGAAAATTATGACTAAGTGCTGTCTCCATGTTGTCATTAATGTATTTCAAAATATAGTAAAACAGTGTATAATAATCAATATCATTTTTGTATAGTACTATCTATAAATATTCAAGATCCAAATCAAATTCAAAATGCATTAATTCCCTAGAGTCGTCATAGTCACAAGACTCTCTAATGGAGGGAGTTCTCCCAAGCAAAATTTAATTGATTTGGTGCATCCAAAATTTGTTAAAAATACAGCGGTGGTATAAATAGGGGTACACACCATTTCTAGAGAGGCAAAATATTCTTAATACAAATTTCAAAAAAATTTGACAAGGAAAAGCTTCCACTGACCAACAAAGGAAGGAATATAACTGAGGAAAGGGGAAGAACTACAAAGAGAGCTTATACTATTAGCAGTCTTTCAAAATAAAATAATTCTAAAACTACACTTTTTTTATTTTTGTGATTAAGTGCAGAATCTTGTGAATATTAAAAATATTAAAAAAACATATTTTTCATCAAAAGAAATATTTTGCATGTAAATTGTCATTTTATTGTCATAGACAAAAAGATAAATATCCATACAACTAGTTGTGTTTGTACCAAGGGTTGGAGAGGAACAGCAAATGCAAACTGTGTAATAATACAGGTATATTTAAATAAAATAGTATACATTTATTTTTAAAAGACATCAAATTAAAAATTTGTACATATTTCATTAAAACAATATAGACTTTTTCAGAAGTCAATCGAAATAAAATAAAAGGCACAAATAGAATGCCTTAAAATTCATAATTTTTGACTGCTTTCAGTAATTGCTGTGGCTCGATCTTCTTGAGTCTTGCTTTTGCTTCCATCTGTCACATGGTCACTTTCAGCAATACTGTTATCATTTGCAAATGTGCTGTTATCACTTTCAAAAGTACTGTTATCACTACCACATATTTTGATATCACTTTCTGTTAGGCTGTTGCCATTTCCCTGAGTTTTGGTTTCACTAACAGCAGTGAGTTTATCACTTAAATGTTTTTTATTGAGCTCTTTATTCCTTTCTCTCCTTGTCTTCACCATAAAATTATGTCCTTTAGAAAAAAAAATAACAAATAACAAATAACAAAAAATGGATATCAGCTAACATTCTTGCATGTGTCTTTGAAGCAGAAATAAATTTATTTTACTTCACATCAATAACCTGGTGAACAAACACAAAGTAGGTGATACTCTCGATAGCACTGGCATCAAAATTTTTCTTTCCTAGAGGATATGAATGCACAGAACCTAATCGCTTAGAAGATGACAACCATACTCTTTACTGACTGAGCTACTCCACTTCCATTTGGTCTTAGATCTCAGAGACAAGTATATGTATCTTCTTATTCTACATACATTCATTCAAATAATACATAGAAATCGCCAACTTTAACCTCAACTAAAAATAGAAATCTTTACCTGCACAATCTAATGTTTCTTCTCTGGTCTTCTTCATACAACATGGTTTACAAAATTCATATGCACATCTTATATTCTAGAAAATATAAACATTAGAGAGGGGTTATCTTTAAAGGCCAGACTGGGAATGAAAGTTCTTAAAACCAAACTAATTAAAATCCATTTTGTTTTTGCTTTTGTTGTAGTTTTTTTTAGTGTCTGGATAATCCTGACTACAAAAAACATGAACTATTGCGATTATTAAATTCAATTCTCCAAAGTTGCAAATAGTATTTATAATTACTTTTACATCAAAATAGAGATGTGAACGGAGAAACAATGGCCATAAATGCTAAAGAAAGGAGAAAAAAAAATATAGAAAATATGCCTACCCTGGGGTTTAAGCAATTGATTTCTGAATTAGTACACATAACATAAACTTGTCTTGTGGGTGTTAGAAAGTTTTTATTAGGGTTCTTTAACATTCTTTTTAATTTCTTTCTAGAAATATTCTCTAAACCCACAATATTCCTTTCAGCAGCCCTTTTCTTTGTTAATTTATCTCGTTCTATTTTCTTTTCTGGATCTAAATCTGCATTTGGACTGAAAGAGAAAATTTTCAATCCATTTTCCAATTTAAAGCTGTTTCATTTATGTGATTATCGTAGTCCAAACATAAAAGTATATAGAAAATGTTCAATACTCAAAACATAAAAATGTCCTTGTCAGAAATATTAAGCCATAACAAATCCTATCTTAACTAGGTAAAAAAGACAGCTACTGGGTGAAATAATTAAAGTAGTTAAGTTAAATTACACTTACTCTGGTCTGACATAAGGCTGACATCTCCAGTAAGGTAAAGGTAGATTACTCTTCCAATCTTCAGGGTTACTGGTATATTTTTCTACATCAGACTGAAATTAGAAATGGTAAATCTCGTAATCATTACCTTATAAACTGTTCCTGATGAGAAGAGGCATTGGTTTTCTAGTCTTTGTGTGTGTATAAACAGTTACAGTTTTCATTGGCATCATTCAATCTAAATTATATTTTGCTGCCAGACATAATCTGGCCCTATTTTCTGGACCAAATGGGAAATCAGAATGGTACAAATATCAAATTTTGATAGAAATAGTCCTGTACCTATATATCAGAGGACTCTGTGATAATTTAGCCCCCATATTACAGAAATATATACGGAAAAAAGCTGTTTCAAATCTCTTACCTGACAAGCTTTCTTTAGTTTGTCAACCATCTCACGAAATTCTTCTATATTCTTAGCATTAGCTATTTCATTTCTAATTTCCACATGTGTCTGAAGACTATATACAAAATATTATTTTCAAAACAAAACTCCTTAAATTTAAGCAGACACACAAAATCTACCATACTTCTTTAATATCTACATAATTTTCATTTTAACAAAAGTTCATTTTACTACTGTAGAATCATTATTGTGATTATATCTATCTTAAATCTTATATTTTTCATTATGTTTATATAAATGTACTAGAACAGAAAAAGAAATACATACGCATGATGACATATTTTAAAGATATGACCACGGATAGCTGACATGGCACAGGGATATTTTTCTGCAAAATCTAAATATTCCAAAGACATGTCCCAAATTAAAGGACTGATACCATTAAACAGAGCTGGATTGTGAAGATTTCCTTCTGAAATACAAGAAACAAAGACAATATTTCAACGAAAAGTATAAAATTATCTTTCTTCCTTTCCTTTCTTTGGAAACAAGAACTTCTTGTCTCTTGTAAACTAATTACAAAAATTATAACTAAAATTAAGCTCTTTCATTATTCTTACGTGAAACCATTCCATATAGGGATACCTCATGAAGACTTACTTACCTGCAGTCATAACGCCATCAACATTTGTCTCTTTTAAACATCTTTCAACATCAGATAAATACTGTATATTACCATTAGCAAATACAGGTATATTTACACTTTCTCTAGATGAAAAATATTAAATCAGTACATCAACAACGGAAGATAGACATTCATGCTTGGTTTAAAAGTATTTGTAGCAACTATTAGGCATGAAGGATTGTATTAGCCTTTCTCTTACAATGTCTGCACACTGTGACAAAATATTGCTTTGAACATTACCCAGGTATCTTTGTAACTAAGCGAGTCTACTATTGAACTTGATTGGTTGTAAATCTTCATCTGCATTCCTGCACCAAATATACACACGCCTAAATCTACTCACTTTACAGCTTTAATATAAGACCAATCTGCCAGTCCAGTTAAAGGACCTTTCTGTTCTCGTGTTCTACCATGTATAGTTAGTATCTACAATTAAAATATTGGTTGCAATTTCCATCAATTGGTGAGGAGACTTTGAAATATCAAGGTTTGAAATATGTGCAACAAAAAACAACTAACCTGACATCCAGCCTTTTCTAGCATTTGAGCATATCGAATTGTTTTCTTTATACAGGCAAATCTTCTTATTTTACAGGTGATAGGTACAGTTAACTCCTTATGACATATACTGACTGAAAAAAAATGGTTCTTATTGTATCTCCATAAAATATATTGAATGCGTCTGCAACATTGAAGAATTATGATTTGAGTTTTAAAATCGAAATGAGAAGGGATGATGAACTACACAACCAAAAATGTAAGCAATCCAGACTTCAGTTTTTATAACTAACATCTGTAAAGACTGTATCAAGACCAGTTTCTCATAAATAGAGAAGACTTTTATCCATGTCATTCTGACCCAAAAACTTCTTACTATATCTACCATGCCAGATAAATTCAGAAATCTCAGTAAAAGGCATATGATTCAAACACAGAGATATCAAAGTCAATTCTAAGGATCAAAGAGCATTCTAACATACCCATCTTCTCTATTAAATCCCATTCATCTTGTAGAAAAGCACCATAATGTCCTTTCTTAGCAATGCTTTGAGGACATCCTAAATTAATATCAATAGCATCACAGTAGGGTTCTGCTAATTGAGCAGCTTTAAGTAAAGTCTCAGGATCATTGGCACAAAACTGAAATAAATGCAAATAACAGAATATTGAACAACACATTTTTCTGTAAGAACATTCCAAACTATTAGGCAGATTTTGTAGTAGCCTGACATTGTGAAGATAAGACATAAGATAATTAAAACTGACTTGACCACCTTTGACACATCAAATATGTAGAATAAATTTAACTGAAATACCTGAACTATCAAAGGACGGTCCTCATCACATGTCACCAGTGATTCTTTCCTATAATGATTATCCTTCACAAACAAAGCAGCATGGAACATAGGAGTATAACACAATTCAGCACTATACTTCCTACTTAATAATCTCCATGGTAACTCACTCTGGTCCACCATTGGAGCAACGATATACTTTGCTGATTTTAACTTCTGCCTCCAAAATTCATACCCTGATAATTTCTCCATATTGCTGCAAATAATGAATAAAAATCAAGAGTTAACTAGTTGTAAGTATAAACTAGTTTATTTATTACATAAAAGTGTATTATGTTGTCTGGTTGTCAAATCATATTTAACAGCTTTCATTTATCAGTAAGCTTATGTGTCTGATACTTCAAAAAATAACAATCATAGCTAAATATACTTTCATTCACGTAAATCAGAAGCTACTTTCTTCTTACTTTTGATGGTAAAGCAAATCTTACCAATATATTATGTGAATAGGAATACCAGTTTCAACCTTTACTCAAACCAAATATGTCTCAACCGTTGATATTTTCCTCTGAAAAATAAAGAAAAACTACATCAAAACCATTTATACCAAGCTATTACGAATCTATCAATGATATTTTCTGACATTTAAAATGTTTTGGGTTTAAATTTCTTGGAAGAAAGGTAATGACCTTATGAACACAGGTATAAAACATTTTCAACCTTGAACTCCAAGCTATGAAAGGTAAAGCAGAAAACATTAACATTATCTGATGTGGTGATCCCAGACTGTTGATTAAATTTTGTGGAAGTTTTTGGCCAATTACGATCAAAGGGTAGTAACTTTTTAAACTTTTTCAATGGAGTTCCTTTCCTTGAATTGATCAATCATCATTTGTTCTTGATAGATAATAGATAAACTGATGAACGTATTAAGACATGACAATGGATCGTACATATTTCTGTGTACATGACATTAATATTGAAATGACATTATAGAGTGAAAGTGAAAAGAATTATAAGAACTCTTTGACTTTTGTCATTGTTATACAAAACGGTACATGACACAAGGGGCCACTTTTTAAACCACCCTCTTGTTACAACACCTTCTTATTCTAACACTGAAAAGTACCCCCTCAGCTATTTACACTAGGCTAGTTCATACCCTCCTCAACATATTGTAATTGATTCAGGTAACGTAAATAAGGTGATACTTCCCCCTGTTACATTCAACAGGATTTAGACCCCCCCCCCCCCCCCCTCTTTCTGATAGTACTTCTTATTTACCAAGTCAACCCAGCCTGCTGTCGCAAATTACGAAATCAATTTGGTTATGGGTTTCAATTTCCAATGCAATATAGCTTAATATACGTCTTCGAACACATCTTTTATGATGTTTAGTTGGCTTTTGCGTTCGTTACATTTTCATGATCCGTTCATGACCATTAAAGATCCATGTTGACTAGCTCCGAGAGTGCACATTAATATTGAAAAAAAAATTGATTGCGATCAAAATCACGTTTCGCTGTCATTTATTCTCTCACAAAGATACCATATTTATCATTGGTTCATGAAAAGAATATATTTTGTTTGCAACTCGTGTCATTTTGCACAACCCATCGAACGGGTCTTTCGTGACTACTTCTATCTCCATTAAATGAGAGCTCTTTTCCAAGGGTAATCAGCATGTAGTTATGAAACAACAACTAAATTGAACCAACGCTGAACATATATCCCACACTACAGACTTAAAATGTTTTAAAATGTATTGAAAAGTTTGGGCCATGTAACATTGATATTGTGTACTTGTGGAAATTTTGCATAGATCTCCCTTTTCTAGTTGTAATTATATGATAAAGATTTAATCTCATTATAATACTGATCTGGATGTTTTTGTTTATCCCGGAAAAACAAAAGCATCTAGATCTGCTTAACAATTAAGATAACACTCAAAGAAGTTGTAGCAAGTGGAATCTAATTTTCTTAAAGGTCTTAAATTTTGTAGAGATTTATCAGAACAAACCACAACTGCTATTATTAAGTTCCTGTAAAAGTGAGATAAGAATAGCTAGAATTTTGCTAATTGCTTGATATAAAATAACTAAAAACAGTTAAAAATATTTAATTGCTATCAAACATCAAATCCAATACAGAACAGTATCGTATAATAAGTCTTTTTTTTAATATTATTTACACTATTTCAGAAATGAATTGCCATTAAATCAAGATACATTCAGAGATATTTGAAAAAAGAATCACTTGGTTTTGACACGGAGACACATATTCTCATTTCTTATCAAAGGAATGTCATAAGGCTTTGAGTTGTACACTGAAGAGATTTTATATACACAAATAAATAAATAAATAACACAACATTGAACAACAGAATTACAAAAGAGATTCTCCCTTTTGAATTACAAATATCATTCCTTTCCTGAATAATTTTGCAGTTTTTGGTGTCACCCTATTTAAGAATCAGTTCATGTCTTATTACTGAAATCACTACTTGATCAACTAGATCCGTCCGGACGTTTGGTCTGTTCAATTTTTTTGGCTTTATAACCCTTTGGATCTTCACAGATATGTACAACAATGCCTGGCTGGGTATCTGAAGGAGGGTGGAGTTCATGAGATTCACCTGTAATTAGAACACAATATAACATAAGACTTATTTAGAGCTTGATTGGTCAGTTCTAAACATAATGACTTCCGAATTCACATTCAAAATTCATCCTTTAACCCTTTCTCCGCCATTTTGAACTTTGTCTACACCAATTAAGTAGAACAACAAGCTGTGTGTTTTTAGTATTCTCAGTTAGGATTGCTATGAGTTTTACCAAAGTGCTTAGTATATTACCTGGAGCTAATTGTGCAACAGCTGATATTAAATCATAGTTAATAACAGGATGAGATTCTGGTATTGGTTCCCAGCCGACTGGTGGTGAGGCGGGTGGTGATATTAAAAACTGTTTCTCTGGTTTTGGAGGATGCAAATGAGGTGAATCATTCTGTGGACTGTCCTTTAGCTAGAAAAAAACGAAACAAAATCATCAATACACACATTCAAAAAATCAATAATAATAACTTCTTGAAATAAATATTTACTATAAATTTTTAAATGTATGATAAACAAGGATATCAGAAATTCGAGACAGAGATATGCAAAAGGTCATGATTCACCATTTTCGGGGGTAGATTTGGACCTTGAATAAATGTAAATAGTCTTCAGAAGTACTAGAAGTGCAAGAAAATCACATAACCCTTCAAAAATGCTTTTAACTAGAAATTCCCATACCTGAGACCAAGGTACAATTTACCTGTCGCTTTGAAGCCAAATACACATGGAAACCTTTTTACCTGTGTGAAATAACATTTAATTCTAGATCCATTTATCAATGTCTCATGCTGGTGGATTCTAGCTTTAGCTGCTCTTTCAGGACTGGAGAAATTTACTCTGGCTCTATGGAAGTTTCTCAGATATAAAAATTGTGCTGTTTCATCATACTCTAGGAAAACTGATTCAAATTCACTCTGAAAAATTTAGCATGAAATAATAATCATTTCATTTCCAATGTTCAATTACAAACATTACATGGCCCTGTGTCACAATGAGTTTTTCTAGTGTCTTCAAGAAGCCAATCATGACACTTTGCATGAGAGAATTCCAAATTTAACAAAAGGGATGCTATTCTTAAGCAGAAAGTCTGTATGGATTTTATAATCCTCCATAAATATGGAAAGAACAATAGTCTCAGCAGGCCTTTCTTGCAGAAAAACAAAATGCATTTGGCAATAGATCTTACCTTAGCATTGAGGTCCACAAAAACACTTGCATCTACATTGGTTATTATCAAAGAATCTGGTAAATCTGTTACATCCATTGCAGTATCAGTGGTCATCTTTCATATTTCATATACCAGTATTTTATACTTATCATGTAATTTAAGCAGATATTAACTTCTGAAATTATAGAACATAATCTAAATTAGCAATAGGATAATTAAAAATATCATATATCAGCAAATAATCTTTGTTAAGTAAATCAATGTGATCCACATGACTTTTGTGGAATCAAAAGATTGCATATTGAAATTTTTTTACCCTTAACAGGACAGTGTGCGCCTATTCCAAGCTTATGTGTTAGACTTACTTTCCTTACACTTACGTTTGTAAATCGAATTATCTAATCTATCATTTTATATGAAATAGAATATCAGTTTAAAAAGAGTAATGACAGTCTAAAATCTATAAAAATACAATAATATTTCCATGTAAATATTTTGATAAGCAGGTCATTCTTCTCAGACTATCACTGATCAGTACTTTTCTTTAAAAAATCTGCTTAATTTGATGATGGATTTTGAGGAGAAAATCGCTCACATCACACACTGTCACACTTTGTGACTATGACTCCTAAGAGTGAGCTGCGAGACATTGACAATGACATTAATGACAGTGACGACTGACAGAGACACAAGTTAGTGAGATAAAGTTTACAGAATATACAAGCCACAGACACATGGAAACAAATGTCCCTGCCATCAGAAAACCAAATATTCATATATGACTCACATATAACAAAATTACATCCAAAGAGAACAATTTTACTAAAAAAATCGGTACTGAATGTTAATGTTGCATAAATTTATATTTGCTTTCGTCCATTGAGGAGTATGATCAATATCACATTACAAATCTTGTACACTAATTATCAATGAAACGGAAATGAAAAGTAAATATTTGTTTGGTTTAAAAACAGAATAATATAGGATTTGTAACAAATATTTTGTTGTTATAGGCCTAGTGTGCTGTCGTAGACAAAAAACTCACATGGAATTAAAAGAATGTACAACAATTTTACAATTGTACAAGGAAGAATAGACTCTATAGAGTATTAAATAGTAACACCCGAGAAAATTGTGGTTATACTAAACACCAAAACCCGTAATAGGGTCAACTTTCAGAAATGAAAGGATAACGGACATCTTCAAACAACGATTTCATAAGTAAGGAGGTGTGGTAGGG